TCTCTGTTCTTCCAACACAGTAGACCCGTCTCTAAGGACACCTGCCACAGCTCACACCACCCAGTGGGAAATAGGAAGAAATCTACTTTGAAAGGCAATTTGCTACCTGAGTGTAAAACCTCCTTATTTTTATTTTTAAAACATATGTGCATGGATCCAAGCTGCTGCAAAGCTGGCCTTATTATAAATGAGTGAGGTGTGGGTGAATTGATAGGAGCCCTTTTCGCCCTCAGCTCTGAGAATACCTACAGATTCCAGACGCGGAAGACCATTAAGCTGACTTTTATAAAGCAGAATCTCATTGTGTTACAAATAGTATGCTTAACCATTTTGTGTGTTTTTTTAAAGTCTTACTATTTTTGTCCCATTGAAAATTTCTCTCCAAATTTTATGTGTAAAATCATGCCTACTAATTTGATTTTTTTCTCAATAAGGTTTTTACTTTTTTTTTTAAAGCGATAGTAAGCCTCACCTTCCCTGTTTTTGTCTGTTTGTTCCAACCTCTGAATTAAGGACCTTCCTCTGGGGACTGAGGCCATCCCCTTAGCTGGTCCCTTCCTGTGGAGGCTGGAGACACTGGCCCTGTCACTACAAGTCACTGAATTTACTGTTCCTTAGTCTCCTCTTCTGTGACTATTCAAAGTCAACAACCACAACAGTCTAACTCTGTATGTCATACATGTTAACTGCACTTATTGTGGTGAGCATTTTGCAATACATACGAGTAATGAATCATTATGTTGTATACCTGAAACTAATATAATGTTATATATCAATTATACCTCAATAATTAAAAAGTAAAATAAGAGTGATTGGGGGACCCTCACCTACTTCATATCAATAGGACCCCAAAGGCCATTCACCAGAGTTTTCTTTCCTTCCTCACCTCCAAGACTTGTTCAAGTCTTGAAGAAGCGATATAGTACACTGATAAGCATGATATAAATATAACACCTAATAGCCACTGTTTACTAAGCCTATACTATGTGCTGGGCACCTTACCAATTCCTTTATATACATAATCTAATTTGAGGAAATAGATTCAGGAAGATTAATTGTCTAAAGTTACAAAGCTTGCTAGGGTGCATCGAATTTGGTCTTTGAATGCAGGTCTGTCTAACTGTAACCATTATATTATCCTACCTCCTCCTTCCTCCTTCTTCCAGGGCATCCGATAATCTTGGACACGTGTTCTCTTATGCCAATGTCTTTGGGCTTGCATGAGTTTGTTTCTATTTCAGTAATCTTGTGTGTATAAGAATAACTGAAAACAGTGACTTAAAAAAATTGTATACTGCAAATTTTTTAGGAGAATAATTCAGGGTTGGTATAGTGACTTGATAGTGTCATCAGGATCTCCTTTTAACTCTGCTCTTGGGTGTAGCCCTCGTTTTCATTCTGACAAAATGGCTACAGGAGCTCCAGTCGTCACTCCCGTGTTCCAAACATGAAAAAGTTGAAGTGTGAAGGCAGAGGCAAAACTGACAACCCAGTGAAATCTTCCTCCTTTTTAAAAGTCTTTCCTGGAAACTCTTCTCAGCAATTTTCATTCATCTGTTGTTGCTGGGAATTGTCATAATGACCACTCTTAGATATAGCGGCTGGGAAATGTATTTGTATAGGTGCGCACATTGTTGTAACGAACAAAATCGGAGTTCTACTAACAAGAACTTGAATGAATTCATCCAGTGATACTCTGAGGAAACTTGGGGTGTTAAAAAGCTGAGACTATTGTGAGAAAGGTAAAAGAGTGAGTTCAGTAGAAACTAGAACCAAGGAGACTATTTCTTGGATTCTCATGAGCGTTGTCAAAACAGAGCAGCTTGACCTGAGCCAGAGAACGGTCAAGCAGGATGCAGAAGAGGAGTGTAACCCTGGTGATTTGACTCTAACTCCACTCGGACCATGACTAGTAGGGAGAAAACAGAGGAATCCAAGACTAAAATATGCCCTAAGTATTAATAGTTAAACTTGTATCATTCATCAGATTTTATTTCATAAATATCATCTATGGATGGAAAAGCAGTTCTTTCAGATTGTGTTGGGAGGAGGGGTGAAGGAGAGGACCTAATGGGGAAACAGAATGAGGAGACGGATGCAGCAGGACAGTGATGGGCTTTGGAACCACGTACACCTGAGTTTGTGTCCCAGCTCTGCCACTTGGGAGCCACGTGACCTTGGACAAGTCACCTAACCTTGCTAACTCTTCTATTTCTTATTTAAAAGAAAAGGGAGAAATTGATGCTATCTTCCTGATATGCTTGTCATAATAGATAATAATGTGGACCCAGGGCCTGGCACGTGGCCGGTGGCGGTGGCAGGGCCACTGTTGGGACTCACACGGCCGGGTGTTGTCCATCCACGGGCTGCCTGTGCACTTGCTGTGGGTCCTGGCGGCTGCAGGACAAGAGCCTGGTTCTGTTGATGGAGGAGGGCAGGGAGGTCATGGAGTGTGGGTGCAGAAATGACTCTTCGAAGAGCAATTCCAAGGGAATGTCCCGAGCTCTTCGTGTGGACTAAGGCAGGAAGCTTGTTGCTGGGTCAACTAATTTGTGGGTTTCAAATGCTCATTTGGGGCCACCTGACAAAAGCTCATTGCAGAAGGTTTGATTTCTCTGAGTCACCCTCCTCGTGTGTGAAGTGAAGGCAAGCATGATGCCCACCTCCAGGGTTGCCCTGGGTGCGTTCCATGACTCAACAAAGATGCCCTGTTGTTGGAGGTGTTGTTGGAGGTGTTGCCTCCTCCCTTTCCACCTGAGCAAGAGCAGGGCTTGTGGGTCTCCAGTCTGCCTGGCTGTCTCAGCTCCAGCAAACCCGTAACAACTTTAACGAGGCCCCAAAGCACATGTACAATCACACTGGGCCAGAAAGAGAGTGATAATGTGATTAATAACGAGTCCTTGGATGGTCACAGCACTTAGAAGTGCCTCTGCAGACTTACACGTTTCGCCGACTCCTGTGCTCATAGGAGTGACAGCCCATTGCCCAGGCAGCAAGCTCACGTCACCCGTGTTCACGTCCAGTTCCCTAACTCGCTCTGTGTCTCAGGCTGCTCTTGCCGTTGCCGCTGGTCACGCAGGCTGGGGGTGGGGTGACTTATATGTTCTCGCCTCTAATTTCTGAGACGTGAATAGGCTCGACCAGGAATGGGGGACATCGAACAATGGCCAGTGCCCCTGAAAACGACACGTGGGCACAGCATTCCTTATGGCCCGCCACCTCTTCCCCTGTCTGCGTCAACGTGTACCCGTTCAAAGCACCTGGCCAAGAATCATGTCACGTGATCCTCACCGAGGCCTTTGGAGAAGCCAGACAAGATTCATTTCCAGCTTTTCAGTTAAGAAAATCAAGACTCAGCCTGACCAGAGCGGCTTGGTGGTTGAACGTTGACTCCTGCACCCAGAGGTCCCCAGATCAATTCCTAGTCAGGGCACAGACCCAGGTTGCGGGCTCAATCCCCCGTGTGGGGTGTGCAGGAGGCAGGCGATCGATGTTTCTGTCTCATTGATGTTTCTGTCTCTTCCTTCCTCTTCCTTTCGCTCTCTGAAACCAATAACAACATATTAAGAAAGAAAATTAAGGCTCCGAGAGGTGAAATGACTCGCTTCTGCTTGGCCTGGCCTGGCCTCGAACCCAAGTCTTCAGCCCCAGACCCTCACCCTTTCTACATGACACACGTTGCCGCTAGCCTGTGCCCTGACCTTGTGTGCAAGGAAACAGCTTCCACCCATCTTCGTACGGGGGTTCACCTTCCGAGGGGTGAGCGGCGCCAACATGGACCACGTTGTTGCTTTAAACTGTTCAGAGGTCGGGAGTTCACTGCGGTCGTGAAGGAGGAGGATAGAAGAGGTTGGGGTACAATGGCTCTCGGTCCGGCCAGAGCAGCCCATGTCCCCTCACGTCTGGCCAGGGTTCCTCCACCTGCGGGAGAGGATCCTAAGTGGACTTGAGGTTCAACCACATGGCCGCAGCGGGCTCCCCCAAGTACAGAAGGTCTTTGCTGTAAACCAACCCTGCTCCTCTCCTGGGCTTCGGGGACTCGAAATTCCACCGTTTGGAGCCTTGAAGACTAACTGGTCTGTAAGAGATTCCAATTAAAATAGGGATCCTTTCACTGTTCTTAACAGCTTATATTAAAAAAAAAAACTTAGGGTACTGTGTTGGGGGGTCCCAAAGCCTAGTTCCTGGGGCTCCGGTGTCCTCGTCCGTAATGCACGAGCAGTAGGAGGCATGGTGAGACCAAACGGGATGCGTGGAAAAGGATCCGAGGGCGCAACTCGGACGCAGAGCCCAGGGGAAGGTCGGGGCCGGGGCGCTGGTCAGGGAAGGAGAGGGGCTGCCCCTGGGGCTCAGAGCACGAGGTCTGACCCCAGGAAGCTCTGCAGTGGGGGGCTCGCCGACAGGCTGGCTGACCTCAGGTGTGGTGCAGTAGCTGAGCAGTGGTGACCTTGAAAGCCCCTTGGGTTGCTTCAGCCTCCAGCCTCCTGGGTCTGGGAACGTAAAGCAAATGGTTAAGGGCGCCAGATGCTGAATGATCATCAACGTCCCCTGCTCACAAACTGCGAAGGGAAAGGCCCCCGGAGAAATAATCAGAGTTGCAGTTGTGTGTTTAGGAAAGCTCATCCTCGGCCTGTTGTTCTGGGAGCAAGGGGAAAGTCGGGGCGAGGGGGGCGGTGACAGAGGGGGGCCTGTAGTCCTCACAAGGTGAAGGAGGCAGCTGCAGCCGCATACTCACCAGTTCCGGCACAGCGGTCAGGTCGGCGTCACGGGGCGGCTTAGGGAAGCCCCTTTCAGTCAGTCTGTGCCTGCAGGCAGGTCTGACCCTCCGACCTCAGACTCTGAAGGTGCACAGGGACTCTTCTCAGGGTGCTTTTCAGAGCCCCCTTTTCCACCCTGGCCTGAGCCGCCCGTGCGTCCCGTCATTTCTCGGGAGCGCCCCCATGTGACCGGCCTCTCGTTTCGCTTGTCAAACCACCGCCTCTCCCTGCTCTTCCCTCCAGCCAGTGAGACCTGCAACGACTTCCACCCGATGTTCTTCACCCACGACAGAGCCTTCGAAGAGTTCTTCTGCATCTGCATCCAGCTCCTGAACAAGACATGGAAGGAGATGAGGGCGACTTCTGAAGACTTCAACAAGGTAAGGCGAGCGGGACGCAGAGGCGCCCCTTCCACGGCCCCCTCGCGGCGCGGAGGGCGTTTGGCAAGTGGGAGACAGCCGCGATTTCAGGTGCTTCGAGAAAGAAGGGCGCGGGGCTGCGTGTTGGTGGTGCTCGCTCTCTGGGGATACGCGTGGCGCAGCTGTGTTCCTGCCGGCTAACTCAGCTGGAGTCTGCGGCGGAGACCGTTTGTGACAAGCAATGTCCAGGTGAACCCTTCCTTCAGTGCCAAGCCTCTGGGATGCACGGTTATTTCGAGATCTACTGGGGAAATGCCTTCCTTGCACCTGTGCAGGTGTGCCCCAGAGAGGGGACCGGGAAGGGTGCTCGGTCCAGGACCCTTGGTTTCTGGGTAGATTATGGATGTGTTGAGACAAGTAGCCCTCAGCTGTGTCGAAAGAGTTGTTAAGTTGCAAGATCTCTTTCGGAGAGTTGGGTGGGTACGTTTATATAGAACTTTTTTTTTGGTTTAGAGAAAGCATTTGATTCTTGAAGGTAGGTGTCCTTTGGTTTTCTACAAGAGTGTGAATTTCAGATTTCTTTCTGTGAGCGAATGTTGGGCGGAGAGAAGAGTGTTGACCAACTTAGAGGAAGCCGAAGCATCATGTGTACTTTTCAAGATAAACAGGACCCTTATCCTGAGAGAAAGGCCTTATAACGTGATGTTGGGTACAGCCTTTAATTCTCTAATTTGCTACTGTATGGTTGGCCTTATAGCCCATGCCCACTGACCTGGTGTCTGAGATACATCTTTCTGAAGTCTGATCCCAGAGGCGTCCTGGGGGGCCTCAGGGGTTTATGCTTGGGGCATAATGTTGTCTCTGAATTCGCTCTGCTTGGAATAATCTTGTTGGTCTTTGCCTTCCGGTCACCTTTTCTCTGCTTTTACATCTCATCCTTTCTACCACATTTCTGACTGGGGGCATCAATATAGGTTGAAAAGGGAAAAAAGGGGGGGGGGCAGGACAAGGAAATGCCACTTCCCCAAGCCTCAGTCAGGGTCTCACCTGTGTCCATCAGCGTGACATCTTACCTGCAGTCACAGCAGACACATGCCATTCCGTCTCAGTCATCTGGCCCATCTGTTTAATTCATCCACGTGGGCCCAGTGACCGCCCTCTGCAGGGAGCACTCGTGGGACGCTGCCGGGGCCGGGCAGCTGTGCCCAAGGACAGGCACAATTCGGGAAGGGACGTGGAGGCCAGAAGCTCACCGTGTCCGCGGCGGAGGTGACGGCAGCCTCCTAAGCACGCCTGGCTGGAGCACGAGAGATTTTGCGACTCCGGTGCAAACCGTCTCTGGGAGGGCGGGAAGAGGTGGCGGGGATCTTTGTTCAGTGTAGCCCCCCACAAAGGCGAGTTAAATCAACAGTCTTTGCAGTCACCACGCCCACCTCGCCCCAGGACCCTTCAGCTCTTCGTGCACTCCAGTGTTCCCGCAAACCATCCGGCCTTGAGCGCGCCTGTGCCCGGGACCCCCTTCCCCCCAGGAGGAAGAGGCCAGGCAGCTCTCACGTTCCAGCACTAGGTGTCCGCCCGCCTCGGAGGGGATCTCCTTCATCCTGTTCTCTGGAGGGACAGAAACCTGTGTTTTCGTGAATGACAATAACACTAACGGTGTGGTGGTTGACCCACGCACAGTGAAGGTGTACGGAAAATATCACCAAATTGCTGCAGGGGGACCTGCTCAAGGGGTTGAGTTCTCAGACACTTAACTCCCGGGAACTTACAGCTTTGGCCCAAAGCACAAGAATGCATTGTTGGCAAAGGCACCGGTCCAAGGGGGCGAGCAGGGCTCTGGGTCCCGCTGGTCCATCACGGCCCCGTGCTCGGGCCGATGGCGGTAGTGCCCTACCTGAACCGCAAACCTCCAGACTCACCCTGAAACTCCTTTCATAACCGACTTACGCGGATGCGAATGTCGTCTGCAGCAGGGTCTCAGAGCCTGGTCCAGCTCGGGGCTGTGGTCCGGCGCCCTCTGTCCGCATCGTGCAATCCTAGACCGGTGATGTCACAGCTGCTGCCCACGGGGGTGGGGTTTACCCCTGGGGTAGGCAGCCGGAGGCCTGAACGGCCAGGGGCCCGCATGTCCATCGGTCGGGAGTGGATACCAGGAGAATCGGACGGGGATGACGAGGGACGTGCGTCTATTTCTACATCGAATACGGTAGCTATGTTTTCATCTTTCCTCTTAGTCCTTTGCACGCCTCGCTTTTGTAACCAGAAAAGTCTGTCAGCGATAGGCTTTCTATCATGTGTGTGTCAGTCTCCTAATGCTGCTCTAACAAGGTATCACAGTTAGTACTTAACCAAGGCGAACGTAGTATCTTGCAGTTTTATGGTTCATAAGCCAAAAGTGGGCCGAGCTCCGCTCCTTCTGGAGGCTGCAGGGGAGACTCCATCCCTTGCCTCCTCCAGGCTCTAGGGGCTTCTGCCTTTCTTTGCTCGATTTAAAGCCATAAATAAGGTCTAATCCTTCCCACAGAAAATCTTTTCGCTCAGATCCCTCTTCTGCCTGGATCGTTTACTTTGAAGGATGCCCATGATTACATGGGCCACCTGGATGATCCAGGATCCTCTTCCCTATCTTAAGTTCAGCTGATTAGTAACCTTAATTCCATCTGCGTCCTAAGGTAACATGTTCACAGAATCTGGGGATTCGAACCTGGCATCCTAGAGGGGGTTGTTCCTTTGCCTACCGTAATGTGTATTTAATTTGTAGGCAGATCGATTTGTAGGTGTGTTTATCCACTTAAATTAGTGAAACACGGACAGGTGGGCTTTTTCTGTCATTTCTTTTACGGGTAGAGCAGGATAAATACCAGCCGCCAGTCCCGCTAATGATCGCTCCAACACAAGTATAATCGTGTCCCCTTTTCTCTGGTGTCCGAGTGTGAGGGCCACTCGTTACGTGTGAACGATGACTTTCTGATTTTTGTTTTTCTGGCTGCCAGTCTATCAGCCACTGCTCTGTTTTACCAGATAATAAATTGGAACAGAGAGAAGCTGAGATTTTAATCAGGTCCCTTTTCTCCTTGTTGCTGTCGCGGTCAGAAGTGATTGGATTCAGGAACAAATGTGGGTTTGATGTTGCTGGTTAGATTTAATGCTTTTCTTGTTTCCCAAGATTGCCCACACGTAAATTCAGAAATATCGTGAAGAAGCCCAACGTTCAACACAATTTCTTTTGAACTTCCTGGGACACCGTCTCAGGCTCTGGCTACTCTGATTAGAAGCATGGATGGCAGATTCAAGTGTCAATCTGAAACCTGGGGTGCGCCTTCGGTGGCTCATTGCTGGAGAAGCAGTGGCCCTTGGTCCAAAGTTTAATTTTCCCGACAAACAAGACTAGACTCCAGCAGACGCAGGCATCTCTCCGCCGACCCACCTGGAATGGGTTTAGCCGTGTCAGGTGCTTGTCGTCCTTGCTGCGGCTCGAAGTGAGGTGGAAAAGCAGCTCTTTCTGTTCCTCCCGACGTGGAAGCAGGAGATGGGGTTTTTAATTCATTTATTTATATAAGAGAAGTAGACTCAGAGAGTGATTACGGTATTTATGCTTTGGAAGGACTTTCTTCCCCTTTCTCAACAGAGCAGTCTCTGCAGAATAGTCCATTGATCCAGGCCGCGGAGTTTGTGTTCTACGGTTTCGCCTTTTATCGCGAGTATTTCAGAGCACGTGTTAGTCACTGGCGTGGGATTAGGGAAGAGCTGGATGCAGCCAGGCACCTCGGCTCACGCGTGGCCCCCTCACTGCGTCTTCGAAGCCCGGTTTCTAGAGGGCAGGGAGGAGGGGATGCAGGCGGTGTGGACGCTTCAGGTCCGGGAATCTCACCGGGAGATTTTGTCGCCGACTGTGCCACTTTAAGAAGTCTAACGACGGTGTACATGTGAAATCTGTATGTGTGGGTAGCAGCGTCTCCCAGCCTTGCCTGTGCATCAGAACCAGCAAGGGAGGGCACTTGAAATCCTGCCAGCCCAGGGCCCAGCCACACCACCCCAGTGAAATCACTGGGCGGGGCCAAAACTGTCAGTGAGGACCTTGCTCAGGTAGATTCCATCACTCAAGGTGTGTCCTGTCCACAGGGTCACCATCGGCTGACACGCATAACACGTGTCCATGTCACCAACCGGTCCGAATCGCGTGCTTTGATGAAGTAGTACGTCCGTGGGTCTACAAGGCCCTTGTTCTAATCCTGGTTCTGCTACTCAGCAGCAGTATGCCTGAAAATAAATTTTCTTTTTTTCCTCAAAAAAGCGGATACCAGTGTCCCATTGCCCTCTTTTATGGTGACATGCTAGTAAGTTGACGTGATAAATGTAAAAACACTTTGAGGAAGTAAAATACCATATGCAATTGTAAAGTGTTCTTTTTCTATGTAATAAGATAGATCCTATGAAAAATGAGTAGATTGCATTTATTTTTACTTTTTTATTGAATTTATCAGTGACGTTGATTAATAAAATTATATAAGTTTCATGTGTACAAGTCTATAACACATCATCTGTATATTGTGTTGTGTGTTCATCACCCCAAGTCAAGTCTCCTTCCATCACCATTTATCCCCCTTTACCCTCTCCAACCTGCCCAACCCCACCCCTCTGGTAATCACCATACTGTTGTCTGTGTCTATGAGTTGTTGTTGTTTTTATTGCACTTTGCAAAAGAAGACATTTATTGGCCACTATGTTAAAAAAAAGGAAAAGGAATAGAAAAGCTGTCTGCACCCCAGTGGAGTTCTTAACCGAATTTAATAACTCATTTAACTTTGGCAGAAAGAGTGAGGCTTGAACATGCCGTGGTTTTGGTGGTGTCTTCCTCCAGACAACTTGATTAGGCCCCTCATTTTTCCACGTAACCAGCCACGGATATTAGCCTCAAAATCAGCAGGTTTCATGCCTCTCAGCTACCTCATGGGCGTTGGGAGTTGAGACCTCTTCAGCAATCACCTAGTTTGCCATGAAAGCATTTGTTTAGATCTGTC